ACTCAGATGTGACTCTTGGAGACAGTTTCTTTATGATGGACCTTGTGTGACTGAGTTTGGGTACAGGAATGTCTGAGCTATGGAACTTTCTAAGAGCACAAATGAAGGGATTGGAGTGATGATACAGTAGACATTTTCAGAGAATTGTGCTAAATGACTGAGTTGGGAAATGCTTGAAGGTACGTAATTGAAGATAGGTGGAAAAAGAGATTGAAATTAGATATTTGATGTCCACAGATGCAAGATTGACAGCTACTAAATTTGTATGGTATAATATGCCTTCTCCATCATTTCTGGATATGTATGTTTATATTCATATATATGAAAATTTCATGCAAGTTTGCAAGGTGTATGTAGGAACTAAATGGAATTGTCTTCTGACTACAGGTTAAAATTTTTTAATTGGATAGGCTCTTAGAGATTATGTATCATGAATCTGTCCCTCCCACCCACAACATTGCACCAACGAGGAAGGCGAGTCCTTGAGATTTAACAGGCAGTGAAAGATCATGGTTTTCGTAAGTTGTGAATCTTTCTAGCACATCTCTCTCCCCACCTTGACCAGGCCTTTTCAATACTCTACCAAAGGAGAGGTGACCTAAAATTAGTGCTTCAAATTCAGATCTGTATCTATCTTTATTGTACTAAGCGGATAATATTAATAATTTGATTGATGCTCCTCCCCCATCTGGAATACTATCTACCACCTCAGACTTCTCACATACTGTACATGGGATTTACCATACAGCTATTGGTAGTCTTTCACATACCTGAAATGATGCCACCTTCCACTCTGGCTGCTTCTCTGCAGCACAAAAACTATATTTTCCTTCATGAAGATACATTTATCCACATTTTGCCATTAAAAGGCATTTTCCCCTTTATTTATTTGATCAATAGTGTATAAAAAGATTCTGGCTTTTCCTTTTTCAATAACTGAATAATAATAACCAGTACAACTCACTTCAGGATTTTTCAAATGTGTTTCTAATGAAAAGCAAAGTCGACAACAAGAGACAATGATCCAACTTTGCTACAAGTTTGAGCTCTTTGCCTCTGTTTTAAAGACAGACAAGTTTAGAAAAATCTTTTCATAGTCTGGATTTTATTTGAATTCTGAAAATAACAACCTTCAAGACTCAGCCTAGTTGTCCTCTCTTTCAAGAGATTCTCTGTGACCCTATCCACCCACTTCCAAGTCAGTGCCCCCCTTGAAATTCCATACATTCCTTTAAGATAGTTTGACCATGCTGTTTTCTGATCATTGCTGTATGTCTCTTCTCTTAAATCAGGTTCTCTTTACCCATCGCAGTAGGGATAAAAGGAGAAAGGCAGGGAGGAAGGGACATACTAAGGGAAGAAAAGAAGGCGGTATGAAAGGGAGAAGGGAGGAGGAAAGGAAATGTTGGATCATATGTTTTCTGAACTAACTCAAGACATACAGTCTAGTAAATAATTTCTTTGTGACTAATTGCTTATGAGTAAATTGAAATAACTTGGATCTCAACACTAGATTCCATGTATACTGCTGGTTTATGAGTCCACCAGAAAATAATGTCCTAAACTGAGACTGAAAATTTAAGATGCCCATTCAGGATATCACACACTGCACCTCAAATCTGGACAAATAACTCTATAACAACTTATACAAAATTATAAGACATATTTTGAACATTATCTTTAAAATTCAGTATTTTGAAATTTTGAAAGTTGTTTGTAAACTGTCAAGAATGATGGAGTATGAGCTAAAATTTTTTGCTATGTAAAGTAAATGTTTGTGGAAACATGTAAAAATAAATAAATGAAAGAAAAATAAATAAATAAAAATTTAAAAATTAAAAAATTTAATTTAATTTAATTTAATTTTAAAAAACATCTGGACAAATCAAAATGAACATTCCTTGGATCTATGACTAGTTTTATAAAGTTTGTGTAGCCTCTTTTTGATTTGTACACATTTGTGTTTTACATAGTTGAACTATCACATAACTTATTTAGAACTTTTAGTGAAATAATGCAGTTATATAATCCAATACAGTTGATAGTCCTCCTCTATCTGGAGTATAATTTAACTCCCCCCAGAATCCACTCATACTGTAAGTGGGACTGTGCTACATGGTGATGGGCAAGGTCTTCCAAATATCTGAGAATATTTTTTATCCTACAGAAAAGAATATGAGATTTATGTGGCATGATTTCAAGGACGCAACAGAATCTAAGTGATTTGGTGACTCAATCCATGAATATTTTTGAGCACCAATTATATGCTGGAAGATGTGTGTATATCTAAAATCATACAGTTACATGATATAAATTTAGGATATAATGATGAATTCTTTCAGAATAATTTAATAGACGGTGTGAGAGATCCAAAGGAATAGCTATTGGGTCATTGGAAAAGCCTTGATGTATTTTTCTATGTTCTTCTATGCAAAAATGCATCATGACTTTTTCAAAAATCCAATACATATTTGAAGAGATTGACTTGGAGAAAACAACATCTTCTAGGAAACTATTGATTGGGTGGGGGTAGAATAATCAGGAACTATTCACATTGACTGAATTCACATAAATTTGACTTTTTCACAAAGTTTTGAATTTCACATTTATCTATACTGATCTTCAATATTAGATTTCCCATTGTCCATGTCAAATTTCATCCTCTATTTTACTGAGATTTTTTTGATACCTAAGTTTTCGTTGTTCTTCTTCTTAGGCAACCAAAGAAGCTTATTTTGTTTTGTTTTAAATTGTGATAAAATATACATAACATTGGGTCCAGCAGATGGTATAACGGTTACTTTGCTGGACTCCCACATAGTTGACTGTGATTCGAGCCCCAGACCCAGTGCCTTAAAACTCATGTCAGGTGCATGTGTGTGCATGCCCAAAATCCCAAGAAGAGGATGGAGGAGAAGGGTTGCAGCATACCCAATTCCCCTGGAGCATGATTTCTCACTTTCCATCTCTCTGTTAAGTGCACATGCCTTACAGCAAAATCTCTCTAAAAAATATACATAACATTAAATGTATCATTTTATTCCTGTGTGTGTACAGTTCAGTAGCAGGAAGTGCACTCACATTGTGGTGCCACCAACACTACCATCCATCTCCGGAAGTTACACATCTTACCAAATTGAAATTCTATACTCACTTATCACTAACTTCTTTACCTCTGTCCCCAGTCCTACCAACAAGGTTTTTTTCTCTCTTTTTCTTTTTTAAAAACCTTTTAAGAGCAGTTTTAGTTTCACAACAAAATTGGGAGAAAGGTACAGAAGTTTCCCATATACCTCTTGTTCCCTTCCCCCTTGCTCCCTTGCATAGCCTTCATTATCAAGATTCCCGTTTGACTGGTACATTCACTAAAATCAATTAGTCTATACTGACACATCATTATCACCTAAAAGCCATAGTCAATAGTTGGGTTCCCTCTTGTTGTCATACATTCTGTGAGTTTGAACAAGTGTATAATGACATATCTCCCCCATTATAGTATCACACTGAGTATTTTTCACTGCCCTTAATATTTTATTTTATTTATTCCTTTCATTTTTTTTTATTTTAATTTGACCAGAGAACGACACACAGAGAGTGGGAAAGTGAGAAAGGAAGCCACCAGGTCCGAGACTTGAACCATGGTCGGCCATGTGGGAGTGTCCAGCGACTTAACCACCACGCCACCTGCTGGTCCCAAATATTGATACATGATTTTGATATCAAAAATATCCTTTATCATAGTTTCCAGTTTCATGTCATCTGCATTTTTTCTTCTTTTTTTAGAAAGATGTTTTGCTACGGGGTATGTGCATTTACTGGAGAGACAGAGAGAAAGAAAGTGAGAAATCACTCCCCAAGGTGGATGGCCATGCCATAATCCCTTCTCCTCTATCCTCCTCTCAGAATTTTGGGCATGCATGCACATGTGACCAGCGTAGGTTTCATTCTGCAGGGCCCAGGACTTGAACCACATTAGCCATGTGGGAGTCCAGCGCCTTCACCACTACGCCACCTGGTGGCCCTTTGTCTGCACCTTTAACAATAAGTCTTCACTCAAGTCTTGATAAAAGTATTGACCTTGGTATCAACCTAGGCCCTGAAGATTTTCCACGTCCCCATGAGAGCCATTGCAACACTCTGGACACAAACAGTTACACATTTATCAAGCCCTGTTTTCCTCTGTAAGATTTTACAAAGCACTTAGTTCAAATATGCTACTATTGTGACTCTAGAGCTTCACAAATGTCCAAGATTTTATCTACAAAATGAAATGAAGGTGAAATGGCATAATTTGTTAACTCCTGAGGATCACTATAACCTTTTAAACTATTCTCTTAAGAAGTATGTGTTTGTGTGTGTGTATGTATATGTGTGCGTGTATGTGTATGTATCAAGTTTTCTAAAGGTTTTGGAAATCAAGTTATTGGCTCAGTTACCTCATAGCTCTTTGCTCTGCTCATTCCTCAAACATGGCTGACAGCATTTCAGCCATCTAATCTGCAGCCTCTCTCAGCCATCAGCAGGCTTGACATTCCATCTGGGCAGAGGGCTCCATCTCCTTTACAGAAAGTTAATACTCCTTGGGAATCACTTTACCTTGATTGGGCTTCTATACCCTCCCCTTAATGTTAGTTTCTCTCTTTCCTGCCCATTTTTATACTGATCTGTAGAGAAAATGAGAGAGACACTTTATAATTTATTCAGTTGATAGTTGACACCTTATTCTTAAAAAAAAAAAAAAAAAGAAAAGGAATAAATGACATCAAATGTAATGTACAGTGTTTCAACTAATCAAGCCTAGAGAAACCTATATGAGGGGACTTCAGAAAGTTTATGGAAAAATGGAATTAAAGTATGAGTTTTAGTATGATTTTTTTAAATCCATGCATACTTTTTTCATAGTATGCAATGTCTATAAACTTTATGAAGACCCCTCACGTGGCTAAGAAAATGGAAAAGAGCACATTTTTATGAGTACTTTTATTTCCAGGAAAGCCCCTCTACATACACTGGGTGAACCTGTCAATGTAACAGGAAGGGTGGAAGCCATCCCTCTCAAGACAATCTGAGGAATAACGTTGAGCAACAAGGTAGCCGATGCATTCTGAGAAGACAGTCTTCCACGCCACTGCCTCCCCAGAAGGGTCTGCCCTGTTCATCTGTCAGTTCAGCAGAGGCTCTGTCTGTGACGGCCAGACGCCTGGCGGTAAGTCAATACGTTCCCCTTGAGACAAGGAAAATTCCGCAGGTCAGACTTGCTAAGCAAGTAGACTACAAAAAGCACCGAGTGCATACAAATGCTGTAGTAAATTAAGATAATGATATTGGCTGTTTATTGTAGATAAAACATAAATCTGTAATAGAAGCATCTAGAAGATTCCAACACCCGTGTATCAACATCAAAAAGAGCAGTTATGATTGTTGTCAAGAGAAAAAAAAAAAAAAAAAAAAAGTCCAGGGCCTGACTAACATTTAGAGATATAAAGCTTTCATATCCTTCAGTCTTCTTTCCTTTGTGATTTCCACAGGATTTTCATTTCCAGAGATATTATACTACTTGCTTTCAAAGGAATTCAATATTTTCATTCAGAAAAGTAATTTCACAGGAAAGTAACACAGAGTGATGTCCTGGGTATTCATTTTCAGAGCCAATCTTACAAAGTCAATTTGGGCTGCAAGGAGCTGGGGCGACATGAAAAGGTACAGATCCTGTGTATTTGGGTTTCTGCCTTCCCATTCTCCCCATGCAAGATGCCTTAGACACCCCATAAGCATTTGAAAGGAATTGTCTGGCGTTCAAAACAAAACATGCTGCCGACTCCCTTAATAACATCGCCCAGTGTAACCCAAAGACATTGATCCTGAGCCCAGGACTAGATTATGGCTTCAGCCCTTCTGCCCTGTAGTAAAAGTCATATCACCATAATCATCACAATCATTCTGTTTATTTTCTCCACACCGTTTGAGAAATTAGAGGAGAAAGCAGCGAGTCTAAGGTGAAAGATGAGGAGATGAGTTACTTGCTTGGGTACTTCTGCAGATAAAAAGCTAATCCTGATAAAACCAAGACTGAAATCCTTCCAACCCACACAAAGTCAAGGTCAGACCACATTAGCCAATCAAGTTGGAAGCTGACCGATTTCTGAAGTAAATTAGAGACCAACCGAGGGGCAGAGGTAGACAGAGAGAGACAAAGGGTGAGAGTGAGAGAGAGAAGAAGTGAGAAAGCAAGCCACCAGATTCAGGACCCAAACCCTGGTTGGCCATGTGGGGAAAAAAGGAGAAAAGCACCCAGATAGAGATGAACAGATGGACTGACAGAGTGAATGAGAGACAGAGATGAAGGGGGAGAAAAGAAATAGCTCCTTTTTCTATTCCTGTTCCTTGACAAATTTCAGGATCAAAAGGAGTAAGAAAAAAAAAAAAAAAAGTCAAGTTTTCATCAGGCATGTGGGGTAAGTGAAGAACAAGGTCCAGCTGCCAATGGGTGTTTTTCCTAAGGTTTTCAAGTCAGCTGCATGCCCTAACCTTGAGGACAGCACTGTTTATTCCTGGTGGAAAGATAAGCCAGGCAGACCCGCCCCACCCCAACCCCCATCGAAGCAGAGTGGGCATTACCGGTGAACAAAGAACCAGTGCTGTACAGCAACAAGCATTTGGTTTTGATTAGAGGATATTCAGGGACTGTGCAAGTTCTATTAAAATAAGCACAAAACCATTTTAAAGGGCTTTTTCTTTTCTTTCTCTTTCCCCCCTCGGTTTATATTGTTAATCTTTCTTCCTGGACGGCTCCTCACAAATGCCTTTTGTTTTCTGGTGTGATTCTACGTGCCAGGACTCTAAGAAGGGAAGACGGAGGTCCTGTTCTGGCATGCTTTCAAGTCTCTTCCATAGGAGATGAAGGCTTGTTGCTGTGCCTTCAAGGGTATAAATTTAGAGGCCGCCAAACCGTCCGGAGGTAATTCAAATGCTGGTAAATGTTGGAATCCACCCTGGCCCCCTGCTCATGTGAATACCCTGGCACTTACCCCACTCAGAGGAAACGAAACCAATTTGGGAAAGCGAGGAGAGAATAAACATGCAATTAAAATGGCTATTTCTCCTGGTTTCTTCCTTTAGTTCTTTTTTTAACACTGCATCCCATTCTATAATCTGATGATGAAACGGGCCTGGTTAATTATAACAACATACAAAAGATCGCTGTCTTTTCCCCACAGTGACTATGCTAGCTTTGAATTTTTTATTTTATTTCATATTTTTTTTTCGGTGGGGGCACAAGAAATGGAGATAGAGGTAGATAAACTTCAAGGAAAGCCATCATTTGAGAAGGAGCTGCTATTTTTACATTGTTTGCAAACCCTTTACCAGAGTGAACATTACAGAAATGGCACTTTCCTTTCCATTTATCTATCTTCTTCCTTTATACATAGATAGACAAATAAAAATGAATCTTTCCAGAGGCAGCATGCATGCCACTTCTATATATTCTTCAGATGGCTTATTTTTATTCAGCTTAAAGCATAACCTATCATTTTTATTCAAGATTCCATCCAGCCTTTCTCTCCCTCTCCAAGCAAGTCTTCAAGAAGCCCTGCTGCCCTGCTTTGTTCCAGAGACTCTGCTAAAGGCCAAAAGATGGAGATAGCACACCCATCTGGTTTGTTTTCACATCCTGAGAGAAGGGGTTGAGAGAGCCCCCTCCAGTGGAAGGAACAAGGTGGTTGGGAATAAGCATCGCCAGTCTTCTTTGTTTGTTTGTGATTAGCTTCTTGTGCTCATCTCAGGGAGGCTCTTACTATCCATGGGGAAATAATACCACTAAATGAAGCCACCCAGCGAACAGAAGAATGGTTGTCAGTCCTTCGAAATCCTTACACTTAAAGATGCAATTTTGATGTAAAACAAAACAAAACAAAAAAACAATAATAAGCATCTCTCTTCTCTCTCCGTTCTTTTTTCTGTTTCCTGCCCCCCCCTACTTAATTCTGAACAGTGTGTGAATTTTATATGTATCAACCTTAAAGCATCTGCTAGAAAATAACAGCCAACCTGTATATGAAATAGGAATAGATTCCATGTCAGAGCAAAATGAAGACCTTGACGCCTCATCGTTTCCATAATCTTACTATCATGTTTGGTGAGTAAATACCACAGGAATACCAAACAGCAGTTGAGAAAAAAATGAATATTGAAATTTATAAAATGGCCAGTGTCCAAAATAGTAATATTCACAGGGAAGTGTTTTGACATCTGAGATAACCTCCATTTTCTTCAGAGCTGAGCATGCTTGATTTGATAGGACTGATTTGAACAAACACATTATTACAATGAATTTCAAACTGCTCTTCTCTTTTTTACCCCTTCAATTTTTACAATTACCCATCACTCCAATTTGAGAATAAGAAAAAACGTAAAGCACAAAATTTGAAGTCAGATGACTTGGGGCTAGAATCTTTGTTTTGTCACTCTTTAAGTGTGTAGTTTGGGGAACCTGAATTAATCTTCCTGAGTTTCAAGTAGCAGCTATAAAAAAGGAGAACCAATGGACCCCATTTATACAAAGTTATGGTAAAGGTTCAACTATAATATATATTATAGGTGACGTATAAAATAATGATAATTATTATAGCTAACATTACATACTTGAAAATGTATTAGTCACAGTTTGAATTTTGCACATATTAGCTTATTAACTATGAGATAGGGTTATTAGGAAGACTAAATGAGCTAATTCATGTAAATGAAGTAATACATTTATATCTAGCATATGGTCAATGTCCTATAAATTATAATTATAATGATAATCTTGTAATTTTCATAACAGTCTTCCAAAAGTAGAACTACAATTAGGTCTTTTACACAGATAGGGAAACTGAGGCACAGAGATGTTAAGTGATTGAACCAGTACTATGAATTTAGGAAACAGAGGAATCAAGATTCAGTCAGTCTGGCCCCAAAGCCTGTCATTTTAACATTGTTCTATATGTACAAGCTTCTTACGCTCTTCATAACATATAAAATATCACCTACATTAACATACTATAGTTATGTGTATGTGTACACACACACAAATTTGAGTTCCAATATTAAAAAATAAAATATTCCAATGAAGTTTCTACCACCGGTCCAACCCCACAAGTAAGGAAAGAATGTTGCAACTGGGGACTGGCCTGATTTATATTCTGAAATCATCATATTCTCATCTCAGTACCCTTCCTGCCCATATTTTCCTTTCTGGCTGATGGGGGTTGTTCAGCTGGGCTTTGTATGAGTTACAAAGCAGCAACAATTACATGAGGGAGTCCAGGAGCATGTTAACCACAAAAAAACAGTTGTCATAAACACTGTGCATCTTAATGCAGTGCTCCAGTCTTTACGTAAGATTAATTAAAGAGCAGATGTTCTGTCATACCCTGCGTTAGGTATGGTTATCTTTGAGATTCCAGCTCCTCCATTTGCTGGGTTTTAATTTGCATCATTATGCATTTTGAGCCTGGGGCATGAGTAGTCAAGTGGTAAACATTAGCTATACTGCACTGTATTTCCAAATGCACCTTCACTATTAGGCTGACTAATAGAATTCAATTCTATTTTCAGCCGAATCCTCTCAATTTTCATTTGCTTTTGACACGTTACATGGCAGGAGGAAAGAGCAAGGAAAAATGAGGGAGAGAGAGGCATCTATGGCACTGTTTGTGCACAGGCCTCAGGTCAGCAAGAGAGCCCCCTTCTGTTGGGTTTTGACCATGCACCAGCATTGCTTTCCTTTTACACAGAGCTGTGACAGCCCTCATATCTCCCCTCCTAGCCTCATGTTACAGGTTGACACTCCAGCTAGAGTAAGAGGTCTCTGCGTTTATTGTTAGGAACTGGTGCACCAAAGTGAATTCTGATTTTCTAAACTCAACTACTGAAAATTGATGTCAGAAAACTTTTCAGGCTGTGATCAAAGTCTGATATGAATTAATTTGTCATTATAACACAGCCCCACTTGCCAGGCATTTCAGGCCAGGACTCGGGAAAGGCAGTAGATATCTGGGTTGACAATTTCATTTAAAGGACAGAAAGCTTTCTGCTTTCTTTTCATTGGTATCTTGATTTAATGAACACACAAACAGACCATCGCCATATGCTCCAAATACCAGCTTGCTGTTCTTCAAGAAGCAGCTTGGGAAAATGCCAAGGCAAGAAGCTTGGAAGAAACTTGAAAAGGCTTCAAGACAT